AGGTGAGCCGGGACCCTTCCACTGGCTTACGTGCCTTCATTCACACGATTCCACACAAGCTGGAACGTTGCTAAAGATGCGTGGTGTAAAGAGAAGACAAAAATCAAAAACGTAATGAGTCAGTTCTGATGTGCGTTATGTGGGGCAGTTGTCAAACTGAATGTTTTCTAGCTGCTGCTTGCTGGAATAGTTTGCCCACACTGGTATTGTTCAGGTTTGGATAAATTGCAGCAATTGTTAAAGCTGTTACTGCCTCTTTCCATGATTGAGTTTTGTTTCCAAAGCTGTATCCTCTAAAACAGCTGAACTGGGTCAAGACGGGAATCTCCCATAGACATCTCATCAAGAGGGAAATCTTATATCTAGAAAATAAGGCTAGTTTGAGAAGGGCACTGCTGGCCCAGTGGCTGGAGAGAGCTCAGGGAGGAGAGGACGAGCAGGTTGTCAGTGTGCCACGGGGACAGGTCTCTCGGCTCCGACGTCAATCAAAATGCCTTAGGAAAACTAAAAACTGCTAATTGAAAATCCACTTCGACAGCTCTGTAACCAGAGATGAGTATTAGGCTTACGTATTTGGGTGCAAAACTGTTATTCAGTATGGATGAATGGGTGCAAAACTCTTCTCAAATGATGTAGGTTCTTAGCGTGACGGTTGTCTTGTTTAGCAGCAGACGCTGCTTCAGGGATTCTGTGTTCTGAACTTTATTGCTTGGATGAAGAGTCAAAATGAAAGTCTAGGAGATTCTTGTGCAAAGCCTGTGATTATGTGTGTCTGTTCAAGTACATTTTTACATTATAGTCTGACAAAACAGAAAATACAGAGTCTCCATCTCCAACATTTACGGAAGCATGCTGAATTTAACAAACCTTTAACAAGACCTAGGTAGGAGTCTCACAGAGTCCTGTCTGCCACTGGAAATATACCCGGCTGCCTATAATTTGGGATCTTGTTCTTCAGAACAATCCTGATATCAGTCCTGTGTTGAGGGCTAATTATGCATATATTATATTTATGTATATGCTTATTATTTTTATATTTAGGCATTCTAGAAAAATGTATAAACGTATTATTTATTACTGTATTATTATCCCTTGAATTTTAATTCTGGGACAGTCCTGTCCTGATGTGAGCATGATGGATCTGATGGGGTCTGTGAGTCTAGATGCTATTGGAGCTTTAGGATTGGTACTGCATGCAGGAATTGGGGGGCGGGGGTGGGGTTGGTTGGGTGGTTGGTTTTTTTAAGAAATGTGGTGTTCACTTTGCCTTTATTTCGACCATTTCTATTTTGTAGGATTTTTTTGTACATCTACTTTTTTGTGCTGAAAGAGATTGAATCCTTTAAAAAAAAGAATTCTTCTCAGAATTGAGATTTTTGCCTGGCTTGGACTTGTAAACAGAGGGGGGGAAAAGACCAAATAGTCACTTTTATTTTTCAATGAAAGCAAGTGGGAGGCTTGGAGTGCAAACGTAGTTTCTAATTCAACTTTTTAGGAGTGCTTTCTATTTAGCTACAACAGTATTTTCTTCCTCTTTTTATTATGGGCTAGCAAAAAACCCCACCCCAAAACCTCCCTAAAAATTCCACCGTAACTTCTGTAAGATAATTATTGAACGTGTATTATTCAGTATTAACAACAGTGTAGTCTTCTCTTTTCCCATCGTAACCCAGAGCTGTTATTGGGATAAATAATTCTGGTAATGTGTTAGCGCTTGAGATTCCACAGGAGTAGGTGATGTACAAAGTTATGAAAATAGTTGTGACCCCTCTCCACAAAATTTATATCCAGGTTTTTCAAACTTTAGTGGCTTTGACAATGAAGAAAATACTGTGATATTAAGTGGCTTTGCTCTGAAAGATCACTCTGAAGCCTGAACATAGAACCTGCTTTCCTGGAGTGCCTGCATGCTCCCCAAATATTAAAGGGCATAAATATATTACATTTTGATGGAAGATGGAGGTAACTTCTCAATTTCATAACTGCTGCACAACAGGTTATACAGTTGGGCCAAGCTCATGCTGGAAGTCCTTGGTAAAGCCCTGGGATTTTGGCAAAGTTCAGTCTAAATCTTCTAAATCACACTTCAGTGCCTGGCCTTTCCGTATGTCAAATTATCAGAGCTCAGATGCTAGGCTGTGACCTTTTTTTGGTGTTGTAGAAGTACGAAGCATCAGCTTTAGACCTAGAAAATAAAGGTAAATAAAGACTACTGGCTCCCATCTTTCACATTTGGGTGTTTTCAGATACTTGTCAAAAGGGACCTTTAATAATGCTTTAATAATAAGATATATTATAGAAATTTTCAGAAATTTGATTCTTAAACTCCAAAACACTTCAATATGCTGTAGATTCTTTTGTTTAATTGCATATAATATAGCCAGATAGTGCTCTGAGGATTTAAAAATTAATTGTGAAGGTATATCCAGTTATCGTTGGATATATATGAATTTATAGTGACCTTTTATTTAAACTTTGCACAGTTTCATCTCATTTAAGCATCTGAAATAGATTAATTAATAAAAATGTTGAAAGGCTTGGTCAACAACAAAAGTTTAATTAACTTTGCTAGTTAATTAAAACTAGTGTAGTTTTAATTAGGGGGTTATAAAAGGATTACTACTGCTACTTTACACTTGAGTCTGTGATAACCCCTAAAAGTTCGATTACTGTGCCTTTCTCTTAAAATGTTCTAAATTAATTCAAAAATGTGTTAAAACCATTCATGACGCTTTATGTAATTATTAAAATGAATGTCAAATGCTAAAATATTAAGAATGAGCTACTCTTTTGACAATAATTATGCTGTTGATCATAGAGAATCGGCCAGACCGTGTGGATATGATGCTTCCTACTAATGTTTTTGTATCGTTACCAGAACAATAACATGCATTATTTTTATCAAGTTTGACTATTTTATATATATTTTTAACTTCTTATGCTTAACTTCAAGCATTCAGGAATTAGAGATCCCTGGCAGCCATCTTTCTACCACTTTTTAGCTCTGTTTGTGACGGGGTAAAGTCAGAAGTGTGCAAGTTTTAAAGGAGCACGGAGAGTTGTGAGATTTCATGATCACACGTCTATTTTCCAGGTACTTTTTTATCCTTAGTTGCCAAACGATTGATAGAGCAGAACTTTTTGGCTTTCTACGTGCCCCACTAAGAAAGGTGACGTGATCCCACTTCTTCCTACATGTGGGAATTTCCTCTTCTGAAAATGAGAATTGGATTTGTAAGAAGGGAAAACGACTCGCTATATTTTTGAGTAAATGATGTAATTTCAGCAATCCTGACTGCTGTCTTTGCTGTGACTTTAACCAGCAGAAATCCCCCCGTGCAGAAAGGATGCCAATGCTGCGCTGCAGACGGAAGTTGCAATTTTCCACTGAAGCATCATTGCAAAATGAATGGTAGCTGTGGGACTGCAAAACAAACCCACATCCTCCTTGTAGCTCAACCTCAGTGATCGTGTTCATTTCTCTGTTAACCATTAGGACTGGGGAGGAAAGAAAAGAAAAAGAAATGCAGAGGGCAAGAAGAAAAACTAGGTGATAGAATAGATCATGGGTATCAAAGAACAGATATTTTACAGCCATCCTAACTACCTACCTACATAAGCTATGGCAGGACGTTCACCTAAGTACATAACCGAAAGCAATGTATTGGGGCTTTCAGACTGCTTAATACCCTTTATTGTCTAAATGAATTAGTTCCTTAGTGTAGTTTGATAAAATAGGATCTTTTGCGTAGAGGATGTGATGGTGTGTAGAAGGCATGAACAGAGTTCCAAACAGGGAGAGATTCCTGGAGATTTAGAGCAGCTCAAAAGCAAAAGAATCAAAAGGATCAAATTCATATAAAAATGAAAGATTTTTCTTTTCTTAGAAAAATCTTATTGTTGTCTCTTGTATTTAGAATTATTTTTCATAGTGAAGATTCTTCCTGCCCCATATGGTTTAAAATATTTTTTTTTCAATATTATGCCACAGCTCTGTCCTTCACCTAAATATATGCAATCAACCCTCTAACAGTAATGAACGAGATCAGTGTGTGCATCTGGAGACACCTGAAGATTGCACTAGAATCCTATCTCATCTTGCTTGTTTGAAAAATAACACCATGACTAAATGCTGATTTAGATGCTTACTTGCCTAAAACTGTTTCTCTGATGCCTACTGTTCTGTGTATCTGTATTTCATTCAAAAATGGTAATAATTATTGACATTACTACTTCATGAGTGCATGGGGACAGTATCACTGATACATTTGGAAAAGCAAAGAAAATGAATTCTTTATTGAAAATGTACAAAGGAATATTTCCTCAGTTTTTTCCAAAATGCCTACACAATTAATAAATGAGACTTTTCAACAAAAATTTAAATGAAATAAACACAAAGAAAAATTGAAGAGACTCATCTTGAAGACAGCTGTATTATGAAATATTTATTTGCTCTGAATGCCAGGAACATTTGTTATAAAGCAGGTGCCTATTTATTAAATATTATCATAGTGTGTTATCTACCATATTTCTACTTCTTCTGTTTTGAATTGGTATGAAACATGTTTAAAAGAGGATTTAAAATTTTTTTTACAAATTATAAATAAGATGATGAATGAATGAGTAACTGTATTCAAGTCCCCTGAAAGGAATGTATTTTTGAGGCCATACTTCTAAAGAAAAATCAATGGCAAACCAGAAAACCAAAACATTCTGCTTAAAAATGTGAAAACACTGTGACAAATAAAGCAAGCATTGGAAAAATCATCAATGGCAAACATCTTTACTGAAAAAGTAGCTCAAATGTCTTGGCATATTCCATCCTGTTTCTTGAATATTTCTCTACTGCTATTAGAAAGTATCGTGTGCATACTGTACTTAAAAACAAGCTGGCAAAGGCAATTCTTAGATCTGGTTTGTACAATCACTTTAATAAGTTATTATCTGTACTGAGTTGCAATGGGAGACATTTACAAATTCCTAATCCCTCAGGTATTTTCTCACAAAAAAGGGAGCCATCTCTTCTGATTTCCGTGCTGTTGCTTCTTTACTAGTTCCTTGTACATTTCTGACCTTAGAAACCTGGGAAAAGAGTCCTTTGCCATGAGACTATAGACTGACCTCTGAGCATCATCAAAGCAGCTGAGGGTGGGCTCGGAGATATTCTGAGAGATGTGGGTTTTGGTATGGAAGTCAATATTAATCTGTAGGAAGAAAGGAGACGTAAAACCTATGTCAGTTTGATCGGAAAGCTGAGGTCTGTTCGTGTGCAGGCCACAGTTTGCATTTGAATTTCCTCCCAAATACCCTGGCTGATGCAAATAAGCAGGAAGGTCACCCCTTCATTTTCTAACATACTGAATTCTTAATTTTACTTGGCTCTTAAAAGGATGGCATCACTGAAATAAGAAGGGAAAAACTTGCTTCTGATTATCGCATCTTTTTGCCAAACTAAATCCTATGAAGTACCAATCACCAGAGAGTAAATTAGAGATGGAGGTACTTGGCATCATTTTAGGTTTCGGCCCTGTATATTTTGTAAGGATTTTTTGTTTTTATTAATAATGAAATGGATTTCAATCATATGTAAGACATGGGGACATTCAGAGCACACTCACTATCAAAGGCAAACACATCAGTGTAAAAGTTTTTAGGGAGTAGAATGTGAATAATAATTAATTAGCAATTTGTTCCTTTACAGTAAGCATTTTTTAAATAATGATAGAATTGAAGGCTGTGATGGAAATTTTTGCAAGTTTGCATTTTGATTTTCATCATGTCAAAAATACCTGTACAAAAGAACAGTCATTAACATTTGAATGTACTGGCACCTAAAATATGGAGGAAATGGTGGTTATTGCATTATAAAAATGGTTAGAGAAAACCAAAGACATTTAACATAAATTTCCTTAAATCTTAAAGTAGAAATTTCAGAAGGTGAGATAAACCTGTGTGAAAAATGTATTTAAAGTATAAACCATAAGAGTTCCACACACTGTTTTCTACCTGCTAAATTATTGACATGAAAATGGAAGTACGGCCATATTGAATTGTATTTTCTGTCATTCCTGGAAGTTTGGATCTGAACTTTCCACTTGATTCCCATCCTCAGTACCCAAAGTACACACAAAAAACTATTTACCTCCTTTGGAGCGTCGGCTTGTATAAAGTCAGAATAAATCTTTTGGGCTTTTGAGGTGATCTTAGTGGAGGATTTGGTTTTCTTGAAATCCTCGCAGGCCAGCCAGAACTCCACATTCTCCTCACTGAACTCTGACTTCAAAAATGTCCTAAAAGCTGCCAAACCATCTGGGGAAAAATGCATAAGATGATGGGCAGAGGAAAACTAATGCCGTTTATATGTATGGATATATACACGTGTGTGTGCATGTGTGTACGTATAGATATATATAGTGTAACTTATGTGTCTGATATTGTTTTGCCTGTCAGCCAGCAGTTAGTCTTAAGAGGCTGTTGTGGGAGAAGTAAATAGGAGATGAAACTATAGCAATGATAAGGTGACTAGGAGAATTCTTTCAGAGTTACTAATTGAGGAACGTTCCCAGTTCCTGCCTGCTGTGGTTTGGTCTCTCTAGCACTGATGTCAAAAGCGGATCCTGGAGATTTTGGTCTTCAAGAGGATTTGTTGTGACTAGGAAATTAGGGATTTGAGGCTGACCCCTGGTCTAACAAGCAAGTAGGAAATTAAGTCATATTGTGGTAGTGTGCTCCCCTCAGAGCTGAGGTTAGCCTGCCTAAATAGCGCTTCCATCTCCTTTCAATTAATGATTAAGACTTGGATTAAGGGATGGATTCTTCATTACTTCTTTGTTCAGCTTTTTTTTTTTCACTTTTAAGAGAAAAAACATGAAACAAAGGTTTGTTTGGAAGAAATTAAAATTAATTTAATTAAAATTAATCCAAATCACAGCCTCTTAGAAAAGAAAGGTGACAGCACCCAAACTTAGTTGTGTTAGTCAAGTTAATACTATTCAGAAACCGTGTGAAGGCACCCCAGGGTCCAGGCCACAATGTTAGTGCAGAAAATGGGGCAGGGGCAAGGGAATTTTGTAAGTTACATGTGGTTTGGGGTTTCAGGTCAGTCAGAATGGGATCTCTTGGAGAAGTGACTTTGGATATATTAGAAATAATCATTTTTTGTTTGACTGAAAGTCAATGCACAACATGGATATTTCTCTGTAACAGCAATACCTAAGAAAAGGTTTGTGGGTTATTTATTTTTAAAAATAGGAAAACCAGAACCATTGCACGGAGAGTTTTAACAACCATTATCTTCATAAAACAAACCTCTTGCAGAGCACTTCTGCCTTCTTAAATGTCCCTTAAGCGTTGCCCAGAAGGTATCTTGTGTTTGCAGCTTGGAGAAACATGCCCCCTCTGCCTTTCAGCCCAGCAGCTCACATGCCTCCAGCAGCAGCGCTGGTGTGGAGAACACCACTCAAAGCACGTGGAGACTTGAACTGGAGAGCAGTGTGAAAACCTGACGAGCAACGTTTGTGCACTGGGTTGACACGCATTTAAAAAAAAAATTTTTTTTCCACTTACTTCTTACCTTTATTAGCTAGTAGTGTATCCACAGACTCAGACCAGGCCATTGTTTCCCCAGCGTCTGACCTGTGGAAACAACATCTATCCTTGAAAATAGCATTGTGATCTTTTGTGCGTGCAGTCTGTGGTAGCTAGGCTATTATTTGGCGATCGCCTTGAGGGAGCAGGGTGAGTAATTCATGTTACTCTATGCACTGAATAACATAAAGTCAACAAAAAGTGTGACACTTTTTTTTAGTGTAGGGAACAATATAGACTCATAAAGTACGGTGTTATTTGACATTGGCAACTTGATTATCCATCCAGGTGATAGCAGTAATGCTTGGAATTGGTTGAACTATAGTAAAAGTATAGGAGGGTTATTAATGTTCTAGAGCACGTACTGAATTTCTTCTTGAGTTCAGATGGATTAACTATTAATTTATAGGACACTTTTTGCTTGGAATGAGTAGAGTTATCTAAAACATTCTCATGCTAACAGTGGTAGGATAAATGGGCATTATTTCGGTTTCTCAGTTGAGTAAATTCACAGGGTTGTCTCTTCCTTTGTAACTTGCTGTGGGCCTCTGTTAGAAATGAGACACGGAACTAAATGGACCCTTGTTCTTACAAAGGGTGCTCTGAAGTTGTTCAAGCTGGTTCAGAAGCCAAGCTCTGCGTGCAGGCTAACGGAGGACAGCCGCGAGATCTGACAGGCAAAAGGATGTCAGATAAGGCAACTGCATGCTAAGTGTGTGGAATGTTTTTTTTTTCTTGTAACTTGGGAAGGATGGTCATATTCAATTTAGTCCACAAGTACATAGATAAAATAAACCTGTCTTTTATTCCTGAAAAATTATGTTTTGATTAAAATCACCACTGTACGAGTTTTAATTTAAACATCTAGCGGAGAAAAAGAAACTCCTTTACCAGCATTATTGTTATTGCTTGCATTTTTTGTCACAAAACCTTGGAAGAATATGATTTCTTGAAACATTTTGTGGAAACATCAGACACACATGTGGAGATGTCAGCATGTGCCTGCCTGCTTTCCTGCATGCCAGTTTTTCTATTAGATTTTCTCAGGTTTTTGGTGGTCGGTTAATTTGCAGCCTCAGGCATCCCCAGATGAACGTTAGTCTCATATCTCGTTCAGCGATAAGCAGGAATAAATCTGTTTGGCCATCTAGCTCTTATTTTGTTTTAGAAAAAGGAGCATACTTCTTCATTAAATCTCAGTTCAGTGGTTTGTAACTGAATTTTTTTTGAAATAGGGTGTTTTTTAAGGAAAACTTTGAAAAAAAAATTTATATCTTACAAATGTCCTCAGCCAAAATTTTTGAGCTAGAAATTTCAACTGTTAATCAGTTCTTCTTGTAACCTCTAAAGACAGGCAGTAAAAGATGAAGAATTTCATTGAGCTGATACTCTATTATCCACCCAGAACAGACTCAGTAGAAGGTTTTATCCAACTTTTTTTAAGTTGTAGTAAAATTAATGCATATTAATATTTTTAAAAAAGAAACATTAAAGTTTAAAGGGAATGAAGAATGTTTTACTAGCATTTTGCACTTGTGAAAGACCTTGACATAAAACAAATAGTTCAAAGTGCAAGGCCAGAGCAGAGTAATTGATTCCCCCCACCCCCATTTTGGATACAGATTTTTTTTTATAAGGAGACAAGGAGAAAGGACAACTCTAGAATACTTGCAAGAATATCCAGAGAGGTAGGTAATAATTAAATAGATCAGTATCTCATGTTGCTTTTGTGGAAACTGTTACATTTTATCCAAATAATAGAGATGTATTAACCAGACAAAAAGAGAAGAAACCAACTTTCTAATTCTCTGGTTATGTATCTTGTATAGGTTACAGTAGGCTGGAGGATTTGAAACTGAATTTACATTCTACGTGAATATAGTAGTCGTTTGACATCTTGGCAGCTCTAGAATGGTTTGCGTGCATCTTCTCTCTCATTTGGTGGTAAGAAAGGGGAAATTGGAAAACTTGGAAACATTTTGTTACGTTTCAGTGTAAAATCAAAACAAATTCAAAAATTTTTCATGGAAACAGAAATCTTATTTTCTGACTAGACTCTGTTTCCGTTCAAAAAACCTTACAGATTAATTTTCATGGAGGTTAGTCATTCTGTACCGAAAGGTTTTTTTCATTTGGTTTTTCTGGTTTCAGACATGCAGACTCATGGGATGTAGAGCAGGTCATCCTCGGCTCAGCAAAGCATCACAAGCCACAGACACTGTCCACAATACTGAGGGGTGGGAAATGTGGGTGAGTGGAAAACGGTGGAAAAGACTCTGCTAAAACACAGCACCTGCCTGTACATGCTGTGCTGCTCTTTCCTCTGCGCTAGCATTATAAGAGAACGTGTTCTCAAGGCTGACAAGATGCCCATCCATCAGGAGAGCATTTTAAAGTAACCTTTGAAGTGAAGTTCACTACGCTTTTGTCTGTCTGACCCACTGGTGTCTGAAATCACCTATGGAAAGACCTTTATGCTGACTATTGACTTTCTGCTACTGTATATACTAACTTAAAAAATAGGTGGTTTAGGAGCTAAAAGGCTCTGGAGTCTGATAAATGCACGCAACTCTTTGTTCTGGATAAAATATTACAGGTTTTCTTAATTTAAAAAAACCCACCCACCCTAGAATTCTGTAAAAAATGTTTGATATTCATAAGGGGACAAACCCCTGCTCTGAAGTATACAGGTTACTTTGAGAGCTGTAGTCCACAGCCGTTTCTCAGCATCACCAGTAATGGTATTTTCTAATTGTAAATTTATAAAGAGATTATATGATAGTGTCACCCTATTATGTAGCTGTAGTTATAATTATTACAATAGATCGTGGCATTGACACCTTTAACAAGCAAGCTTTCTTTACAGCTGTCAGTTTACTTACATCCAGACTGCACAAAATTATATTTAAACAAAAATAATAGCATTATGCATATTTATACAGAAGTTTGCACACATACATGAGGGAAACTGGAGTGCAAATATAGTCAGCCCGTACTGAAAACACAAATGAAAACTAAACATAGCATTATGTAGTACTTTGTGAGACATCATGTGCTGATGGAATTAATCAGCAGAGAATTTGTTTTAGTAACTGTAACAAACTTTTATCAAATATGTAACAATTTTTCAGGTTGTTCAGTAAATATTTACTAGCTTTCTTGTCAAACAAAAAAGCAAAATGAAAGACCAGGATAAAACAGACAGCATGAACATAATTCTGCTTCTCTTCCTTATGTGTAATAACATTTGTTTCAATATTTACTTATCACTCAGAGAATTATCTCACTGATCTCGTGGAATTTAGTTGAGTGGGAATGGCAAGCAGAACTGGCAACAAGGAATCAAAATAATCATATACACTTTAAAGGAGGAAGGAAAATAAAAGCTGTCCAGATTATTCAAAATTGATCATCCCATCCCATAAATCTGCTACGATTAAAATAGCCATAAACAACAACTCACTTCACTGACATTTTTTGTTCCACTGTCTGACTGTCACAGGTAGGGCAGAATTTCTTTTTCTGACTGATCTTCAAGCTGAAGGTAATGTGACAGCAGGAACAATACAATTAGCATGTGAATAATCAAACAGTACAATGCAAATTGACAAACTGTTTTTAACACTTCCTTTAAAATTATTTCTTTCAGAAACATGGCTTATTTTTTAACAGTGGCTGTTCTAGCTTAATCTACCAAAAGTAATTTTAATTAAAAACAATTTATATGCAAATATCTCTCAAGACATATTTATGTTCTGAACAAGACCTTAACAGAGAAATCACGTTGTGATTTTTCTCATCGACCACTTGGCTTACTGACTGTGGAAAAGAAAAAAGGAAAATGGGTTCACTGCACGTAACTAGAAAATTCTTCACTATAATTCTGTACTCTCGTATCTGTAAAGCTTACCCATCACTTTATGTGTCTTAAAGGTCAAGGCCCCCTGAGCCATTGTCCCTTTTGTTTATACATACAAGGCTTATCACAATGGGACCAAAGAGTGTTGGGATGGCCATCATTTGCACATTGATGCTGTTACGAATAATGGGATCACACAGTATTTGATACTTTAAATGCAGTGATTTTTTTCTACTCTTACTGATATTTCATTCTATGTGCCATCTTCTAGCAGCATCACTCTCCCCCCAAAACATTTTCATATCATTTTGTCTTTTGCTCTTGATAATTATTCTTTCCTCCCCAGCTCTTTTCTTTCTCTGTACATTCCTTGCTGTCCCTCGCTCTCCTGAACAAGCTGGCTTACTGATTGGCATCTTGCCTTCCTCCAAATCTTGTCCTGCTGCCTAATCCTTTGCTCACCCTACCTTCCTGCTTCTCAATGTCTCCACTTGATATAAACAAACTTCCAGTCGTTCAGGAACTGGAATACAGCTGTCCCAACCTGCAGAATAAGGGATTTTTGTCTTCTCAGTTAAAGTATTTTACATCAAGTAGAGCAGCCTTGAGTTTAGGTCCCACTTGACTTTCCTGTATGGTATAGCCACATACAAAGCTGCCTTCTGCCTGACTGAGGACACAGTCTTTCTTATTTTAGCTATTTCTGTCTTCTAAGGTAAGAAATCAAAACCCAAGCACTACATGCCACATTTTGACCTTAGCAATGTTAAGGGGTTATTCCTTATCCTCACCTTTTGTGGATCTGTAAAAGAAGTTTCAGGCCAAACTATTTGATGAACTTCACATGGGACAAAAGTAGTGAATCCAGTCAACAGTGCTCCAGGAAGCTGAAAGCAGATGGGAACAGATACAGAGAGGTGGGTTACTTGGATGATTGGGAGAGTTGAACTGTCTTGCAGGAGAAGAATAAAAGACTTCAGTTTGTCTGTAAAATGAAAGCAAAGAGGAACTATGATTGCTCTCTGTGAATATGGAGGGGTAATCCAGAGAGAAAAAAGGAGTTATTTTAGCTTAATAATCATATTGGCAAAAGAAAAAAAATGTGTATAAACAGCCAGTGAATAAATTTAGGCAGGAAATCAGAAGGCGGCTTCAGAAAAAGTGTTGGTTTTAACAGCCTCACAGTAGAATTTTTGTCCTCTCTACTCCTCTGTACTTCAAAGATAGAACTTCATATATTTATGAAAGAGATTATTTTAAACTGTTGCCTTTGGTAATAAGAAACTAGAAATGATGATCCAAGATGCCCCTCTCAGTCTTATATAATACTAAAAAAAGATTCCTGGCAGCAAAATACAAATCCTTTCTACAATTTCTTACCTTTACATCCACTTGCTTCTGAAAGTTCTAACAGAAGGAGAGCAATATGAATTATCATCCTGATTCTCTACAGCGCTGCTTATTTTCCTTAATCGGTTATTTTCTCTTATTTCCACAGAGTATGTACTGTGGACTGTGACACTGTGCCAGACAGGACCAAAAGCCTTCCACGCACTGTGCTGGTAAGACTAATTCACCATCTTACAGGTGGAGAGAAAACCTTCAGCACCTGCATTTACAGTAAATCCTTTGTGACTGATTCAGTCCCAGGTTTTAGCTTTGGTAAAAGAGGATAAACATAATACAAAATCCAAACAGTATTTATTTGTAGAGTTTCTGGCCTGGCAGACTGTAAATAGCTACAACTTGAATTTTCTAACAGTAAGATTGTCTCTTTGTCAATTATTGTTGAAATAGTACTTTTTTTTCCCTAATGTTATGTTTTGTGATTGCTGTTACCTTTCTCATGTAGCAAACAGGAGGTTCTTCTGCAAATATGTACAGGCATTTACATGCATTACTATGTCTTGTTATTTTTAGGAAGGGACTTTGCTTTTAAGTGCCCTAGGTTCTCACTGAAAAGTAGCCAAGACTTAGGAGCAGTTCAAAATAGGTGTTGAATTTTCAGCCAAGTAACAAAATTCTAGCCGAAGGCCTGATGCAAGTTTCCTCCAGATTCCTTGGTGTAATGCCAGTAAAGTCAGTGCGGTTATGAGGACAGAGATGACACCAAATTAAACAACACATCAATTCTTGGATGATTCCATTCATTTCTCAATGTTTGCCCTGTGTCTAATCCCAATGATTATACTATCCACCCACCTTAGAACTGTGATTATAAATTGACTTTTTTTACATTTTTTAAGAGGTAATACCATTCTTGTTATATAATAGTCCCATTAACTCCTGTGAGACTCTTTATGAGAGAGAGGGTGCCTATTTTTTTTATAATCACCTGATGATACACTTTTTTAAAAAAACAAAGTTCCAAACAGTGTAACAGATGCATTTTTTAAAAATTCTATCTAATTGCCTGATGTCTGAATGATACAGACATGACCATCTCCTGAAGATTTTCAGTGCTGATATTTTAAAGTCAGTCTTAGCTAAACACCACGAGTATTCTGACCAGCACACAGAATAACTAGGTGGATGCATTCCGATTGCTCTTGCATTTTATGGGTTACTGATCACAATTCACAAAAACATGAAGCTATGAGGGATTTTCACCATTGTGTAAATTGCTGTTCAGTGACTGCTTAGTCTATGTAAGCTGGTTGTATTTCAGGTACACAGCAGGTAATAGGGTTGTTATTATTATTATTATTATCCCAGTACAAATATCACAAGTACACTAACCAAAGTTAGGCACAATCACCTCTTCCCATAAAAAGTAGCTGGTAGTATTGTCATATACTTCTTCTGTTTGGAACTTAATAATTTCTGGAAAGAAACTCTAATATTTTACTGAAATTTCATAAGGAGAAAAAATGATCTTAGTATTAAAACAAATGCATCATCTGCTTGTGCAAATGTATTAGCTATTCATCATAAACAGTATCAAGCAAACAAAAAGAAATATGAATATGTACTAGAAACAGGCTGGAAATTGCACATAGAATTATTTCTAAACTTTTTGGTAATCTGGATCCAGCCGACACTGCTGATGTTTGCAGCTTCAGTTCACTAATAACCTGGACTGGGCTTGCAGAGTAGCTCAGGCCCTTATCTGCTCAGCTAATTTCAGTGTATTTTAAAAACTTTATCTGTGAGGCCTCTGGCTTAACATTTCTGTAATTCTGAGGACTGTGCTATGGATTTTTGGTTTTAGTTCCCTGCTTTTGACAGGCCATAGGAGAGCTAGAACTGTAGGAAAGGGAATGTGGATCTATTGATTGAATGTTTGCTCTCCTCCTTTGCTAATATTACTTGCTAAGGACTACTGATTTATTAAATATTTAAATCCCCTGAAATTTTAGACTTACTGCTTGACTTTTTACTGACACTCATCTTTTATTCTTCACCTATCTTTAGGCATTAGTTTCACTGAGTTATCTTCCTTTATGAAAAGCTATTGGCTCTTCAGGGGAATAAGGCATGTCATTTTTTGTTCCTCTGACCCACATCTGAGCTAGATACTAATCTCAGTAGACAGTATTAAACAACTCTTCATGTTCAAACTATTGGTGTATTAACCTAAGAAATAATTTTCATTTATTTATGTTCCTTAAAGGGCTGCCTTGTACTCACCTGAGTGCAATGTGAGAAAAGGTTACTCTCTCCAATAGCTGTTTTGGTGTGCTGGTGTTTCCCCTGGATCAGGGTCAATATGTTATTGCCCTTCAGCACTCGGCCCCTGTTAAATCCATTCCATACCCAGGTTTGCTCGGATAGTGTTCTCTTGCACAGTGTAACGTCAGCAGAAAAAAAAGTTAATGTTCTGCTGGTCCATGCAATTCAAGCAAATAGAGACTTGACTGCATTTCTTATGTTGGGAGAAGCCAAGATGATCTGAGCACTGCTGGCATCCTAGTAACATGGAAACGCCTGTCATATGGGATGCAAATACATTTTAATCACAGCACTATGTAAATGCCTACCTTCCAATAGCACTGCACAGCATGGTCAACTCACAAAATTTTTTTTTTTTTCCATATGAATAACTCCATGTGTCTTCAGTATGCCACAGAGTTGTTTTGCATAAGAAAATGAGCTGTTATTTTCCACCCAAGCAAAGTATGCCCTTCAGGTAAAATGTTTTGATTTTTAAAACAATCTGTCAAAATGTTTTACGGCATTCTGGGCTCCTCATGTACAGGATTTCCAAGCACTACACAAACACAAACCTACATTAGAAGAGACCTCGAAACAATTCTCAAGATAATGTGCAACCTCGAAGATTCTCGTTTTGTACTAATTAGCAGATTATTTGGCACAGCTCATGTCCTGGATGAATACGCTGTTATTTACATAGCATCCGACTTCACAAAACTACATAGAAGCAGCCTACATAGCACAAGCATACAGGATCATATTATGACCTTGTGCTTGGAGACAGGTATAAATTGCACCAATGCAAGAAAATCTGAAAGGTAGGCATTATGCCTCAGAAAGCTCTTCAACCACAGTTCTCCGTAGCAGTTGTCTCTTGAGTAGTGCCTCGTGGGTGGTCTGTCCCAAGACAAGCTGTGCTAGGAATGAATGAAAGGGAAAACCAATATACTGATGTTCTTTGTTACCTCTTTTTGTAAATGACTGCTAGACTCTGACTTCTCCAAGTAATCTGGGCAAAGTGTGTGTATGATGTAGGAGAGCTCCTACTGAGTCCCCCGCAGGGGGACAGTCCCTGTGAGGATTTAATCCTTAGAAACCTTCTCTTCCTTAAGGAAAAACTGGAGTAGCATTAACTGCAGGAATTTAAAATGAGTCTGGAAAGTTGGGAAGAAATAAGAGTTTCTAAAATACAAGCAAATTGCATGGTGAAGAAACAACTGCTCAGGTTTGTCCTTATATTAGGCTTCAGCTTAATCTTCTGTCCTGTTTGAAAACTCTAAATTGACTTCCATCGGATTGTATTTCCTGCTACTTAATTTTAGTTACCTTTCATAGAGAAGGCAACAATAGAAGCTAGATGGTAAATCTTTTAAATCTCCTTAGGAGGAGGTTACGCAAACAGATGCCATTTAGGAAAGGAGAGAGAAAAGCTTTGGTATAAAACCAGAGGGAGCTTTTATGAGACCAGCCCTAAATGATCGGAGTACAAAAAATGGATGATGACAACAAGACATTAGCAAGAAAAAAGTAGGAATGGAAACGAGCTGGATGGTGCATAGGGGAAATACATTTTTATCTGTGGCACAGAGCCACACAGGAGCTTAAAGGGCATTCGATTGAGGCATTTGACTAAAATGCAAAAACCAGAGGGGGATCTAGGACAGGCATCTGAGCAAGGCATAAGTTTATGAGCATATGAATCACTGAAGAGAGGAAGAAGATTTTATGCAATTTTTTTTCTCAGCTGAGGTCTTTTGGCAGTATGTGTGGAAAGGAGAGGGAACTGCATTCAAAGCAGTAGTTAATTAAGGCAGGCTGAGCAGCTGGGGACAAAAAGGAGAGAAAAATGATCTGCCTTTTGTGAGTCACTTACAAGTTGTAGCATATAAGAGCCATATCACCAATCACCTACTTTAGTGGAAGATGGAAATCTATCTTTTTCTTTGAGATTCATCTTGGATTTCATTCCTCTTGTTTCTTGTCAGTTCAAAAATTAATCTAGTGTCTTTTTCAAAATAACAAATCCCAAAAGCCAAAGAAGATACATGTATATGTGTATTTCCATCTCTCTCAAGTTAAACAAGATCAGCAGATAATAATTCAGCTAATTTAAAGCATCTAAGTAGACCTAAGTATTGAAAGAGGAGACAAGCCTTTGTGCTATACAAGCCAGCAGATTATTTCCCTTGTACTTTGGGTCTGGAGACTTCATGTAAGGAGTAAAGTGAAATGTTTATGTAGGGTAAATTATTGTGTCGGTAAGAGGAGTATTTTGAGAGCTCTTACTGAATGGCACATACAAATCTAAAAAGCTGCTACGTAAAATAATCCTCAATAAAAATACTTGCCTGATAGGCCTTGCATATGTATTATTTGCACTAGGTCAGCTAAACAAGAGGATTTACATAACTATGGCATTGATTCTGCCAAAACTAGAGAAGCCCAACTACGTTCTCTGGCACTGCTCTAAGGCGCAGGGCTAGCCCTTAGTCTGATCAATCCTGTCTAACTCAATCCTGGAACAGCACCACAGACTTGTACAAAATCTATGCTTAGTTCATCTTCCAGGATTACAGTAGAGCACTAAATAGTAGAGCACTCATTTTCTCTCACTAAAGGGAGCCTCTTCTAGACAAAACCGTTTGCCAGATAATTATGTCATTTTACTTTATCTTTGTGCCCTTTGCCTTCCTTTCTCTGAATTTATCTTGGCTTTCTTTTTGCAGTAGTTCCCATGGCATTAGTCTGCTGTAAATTCAGCTACGGTTCATAATTATCTTTGAAAAACATACATGCATAAATAGCTACCAGGAATATCTTATTTGTTTTGTTTTCATTATAAAACTCATAAGAGGGACTAGCACTATCAGTACCACAGACTGATAGTTTTGAGGAATGCCTCCCTGGAGATAAGGAAAACTTTCCATGTGTCTGTGAAATGAGACAAAGGGCGCCTGCTGACTTGTATTTATCATTTACAGACCCTTTGACTAACAGCTGGTTTTTTGCTAAGAAGAAAAAGTCTTACTCAAAGTACTACATTTGTCATTAGTTTGGATTTTGGAACAGTACTAAATATACTTTTTTTTTTCATTTATTTCATCCATGGCAAGAGTAAAGGTGCAGATTCTCAGCTGGTATGAAGGAATATAATCACACCAGGGGAGAATCCAGCTGCAAATGTGTAGGTCTTATGCCTGTGTTGCAACAGACCCACTGTTAACGCTCTGGTGGGTCTGTTCTCAAATCTGTTCTCTTTCTCTAACACAGTTAGTAATACACATCAGAGGAACATGTGTATTTTAATTATCTGAGAACTCTGGCATCCAGACATTGTTGGTGATACTAGAGATTCCCTAATCAGAAACAGGATCGTTTCTGGCAGAATTGATTCATGTTTAAGGGATAGACAGTCAAAGATCAAGGGTAAATAATCTATCCAGAAAAAGAGAATCATAGAATCATAGAATGTTTTAGGTTGGAAGAGACCTTAAAGATCATCTATTTCCAAGCCCCCTGCCACAGGCAGGGACACCTTCCACTAGACCAGGTTGCTCAACGCCCCATCCACCCTGGCCTTGAACACTGCCAGGGATGGGGCATCCACAACCTCTCTGGGCAACCTCTTCCAGTGCCTCACCACCCTCATAATGAAGAACTTCTTCCTTCCATCTAATGTAAATCTACCCGCTTTCAGTTTAAAGCCATTACCCCATGTCCTACCACTACACGCCCTGGTAAAAAGCCCCTCTCCAGCTTTCCTGTAGGCCTCCTTTAGGTACTAGAAGGCTGCTCTAAGGTCTCCCCAGAGCCTTCTCTTCTCCAGGCTGAACAACCCCAACTCTCTCAGCCTGTCTTCATAGGAGAGGTGCTCCAGCCCCCTGATCATCTTCATGGCCCTCTAGACCCACTTGAGCAGGTCCATGTCCTTCTTACGTTGGGGGCCCCAGAGCTGAACACAGTACTGCAGGTGGGGTCTCACGAGAGTGGAGTGGAGGGGGAGAATGCCCTCCCTCGACCTGCTAGCCACACTTCTTTTGATGCAACCCAGAATGTGACTGGCTTTCTGGGCTGCGAGCGCACATTGCTGGCTCATACTTGGTTTTTCATCCACTGATATCCCCCAGTCCTTCTCTGCAGGGCTGCTCTCAATCAACTCATCGCCCAGTCTGTATCTGTGCTTGGGATTGCCCCGACCCATGCGCAGGACTTTGCAGTTGGCCTTGTTGAACTTTGTGAGGTCCGCCCAGGCCCCCCTCTCGAGCCTCTCAAGGTCCCTCTGGACCTTGACATATATATATGTATGTATATATATACTGACTCCAGCAATGGAATTGGGTTAGAAAGTTGCCTTTCACTACATTCACTTGTTCATGTGACACCTGTGACAATGATAATCATGGTGTAGACTGTAAAAAACGGAGGCTGACAAGCTCCAAAGCTGCATTTGGTATCAATAAAGAGACTGAAATACAATATCAGTGCTACTAAAAAGATTTGATTTATTCCTGAATCACTGTGCCCAGGTTCTAACAACTTACACAGTTAGAAATAGCATGTGCCTGGAGTTTTGGGATCACGGAAGGATAATGGAATAAACCAGCAAGGACCATACTCCTCACAGTTACAAATGTGTTTCCTCTCTATTCCCCAGGTAAAGCTAAGAGTTTGGAGATGGTGCCCAGGTCACTGCAGCTCAGCACCGTTTCCTGGTGAGTTTGGGTCTCTGTGCACAGTAACACTTTTGATTGAAATGGTAATGATTACAGCTAGTATTGAATTATAAGTGAAGCGAAGTCTTCACATTTTACTCATCAATGTGCTAGTGATAAACTGAATCCTGACAACTTTTTAGGTAGATCATTTCAGATTTATTGAAAGTTAATAAAGCAGACACAGAAACCCTCAGATCAAGCAGTTCATATATACCCTGAATTAGTAAAGAATATAAAGTCCCATACTTACAAACTGCACCTCTTTGCTTTGACCACTTACAGAAAGGGGAAGAAAAGGGAGAAAGCTTAAATTCCGTGCAAAGCGACTGAATATACAAGTCATAGTTACAGCTAAATCCTGCAGCCACTTGCTAAACTGAACCAATGTTTAAGATTTTAAGAATTGCCCCATGCTTCAAAGTATGACTGCATCAATTCTGAAAGAAAAGGGCAGGATAACTGCATATACTGACTATGAAAAGGATATGTGTGACTTCAATAATAAAGAAATAAAAGGGGAGATCTCTCCTTGCTCCTCTATAACCATAGTGAGTATATTAATGACCGGTAGAACTGAAGGTTATTCTACTGGAGTCCAAGAGATGTTAATTTTCAGATTCTTTCTCAAAATAAAAGGCAGAAAAAATTTAGAACAAAGTTTAGTGACAAAGTTGGTATATGATTAATACTTACAAATAAAAGTAGAATTTCTTAAAATCTATATATACACATATACATGACCTGATATTTAATGACACATATTGTGTTAAAATAGCACTCTTGGCCCTTTGTTGCTGTTCATTTGGTTGCAGAAAATTAGAATACAAGTATTTGATGGCAAAGCTAATCTGTACAGCGTAACTTAAATACAGAGAAGAGAGACATATAATATGAAAACAGCAGTACCCCAAAAAATTAAATAGGTATTCTTATGTTCCTCTTAAAATATGCAATAGCTAAATTTTAATTATGCAGTGGCTGTAGTTAAAATCCATGTAATTTACGTTATACCTAATAATGTTCCTATGTGTTTTGCAGTATGAGAAAATACCACAAATGCTCTATGCTTAGTGTAGGAAATACTGCAGAAACATAAATATGTGCAAAGGCTAGGTATATAGATTCTAACTGTGATGAAACTCTGTCCTAAATAATACAGGTCCAAGATACATGGTAGATATTATCAAATGGCATTTTATACAACATTTTTATGCAGGAAACTCAATTTTTTCCTCCAAATACGATTATAGCTCTTGCTTGAGTTTAAAAAAAATACTGTATGAAAACTTTACATGATATGTCATGGCAATATGTTGCCTACATCTCTATAATAAATGAGATTAATCACCAGCTACAGAACTCTGACCTGGTATAAGTGCATGTAACTTTGCTTTCCACTCATTCACACCTGCTAAAGATTTGGATTTTAAAACACATATGAGTTGCTGCAGTAGCTAGAATTTATGAGGGTTGAGTTTCCCTGTTACCAAATGGTAAAGTCTGGTCGTACACCCTGGAAATCACTGACAGTAAAAGATCGTGATCGTCTCCTAAGAGTAGGACGACTGGGATTTCTCCCCTTAACCAAATTTAAATAAGGATCAGATCTTAGGAAGCGTGGGTAGCTGTCTTGCTCCATCAACCTGTAGACTGTGTTTTGTGCTGCATCAAAGGTGGTGATGATGGGCTGTTCAATATTCTGACTTGTGACTTCTTTGGTTTGAAAGTCCAAATTCACCTGGAGAATGAGGAAAGGTATATTTCTTTAATGTACATCCATCTTTTGTTATTATCCATAGCAATGATACTGTACTTTGGTGAAAGTCTTTTCTGATAAGATGACCTTGAATCCCTGATACAATGAGATATTAATACCACAGAATTAGTTAGTATGTTCATGTTCAGTAATGGCTGTCAGAAAGTCTTCACAGATGTGTCATTGGCACAGTGGAAAACCAGTAAAATAGAAGATAAAGTTTGATGTTTGACTAAAAGAAACTTTGTAATAGTGATCTTTGTACAGCTGCAGCTGTCAGGCTTTGCAACAACAGACTAATACAGAACTCCCTCCATTCTCATTTAGGATTCATGTAGAACTTTGTCTCATTAGACCATGTTAGTGAATATTTAAAATTTCTGGTTTCTGTGTAGAGTTTTTGTGGTAGGAAGGTGACAAAACTCTAATAATTAAAAATATCAAAATTATTTTAATGGGTTTCTGGAAGCTTTAGATGGGAAAAGTATATCAAAATGATCATTTCTTCCATGTGCTGTCGCATTCATCCTGGGAAGATTTAACTAGTATAAGAATTTTATTAAAGTGTCAGGCACTGATTTAAGCATGCTATTTTGAAAAATAGGATAGAATATATAAAAAAATTGTTGATCCAGTCAAAAAGTGACTTCTATAATATGCTTTTTTTCCCCCTCACTGAGATACACCTGTCATTTCCATAAAGCTAGTTAAAACAAATAGTTTAGATCTAAGAACCGAAGGGCAAATAAGGATGATAAAATGGTCCACTCATCAAACCTAAGATTTTATGATCCTATCAAACTGTACACTCAGAAATTTGTGTGTAAAAGAGCTCTGCTGGACAAGAAGTTAGTCAGAGAGAAGAGGCAAGTTCCAGAGCTGCGTGGTCTGAAATGAGATGCTGTTGGCTGGTCTCAGCTGCTCAGCTGAACCCGAGGAACTAAGTTTCACCAAAGCCAACTGCTTAAGGTGAACAACAGCACCCACGCTACGTGCACCAAATCAAAAGTATGACAGATAAAGAAACCGTTACATTACTCTTAGTCAAAGTACGACTTCCACACCCTGTCCCCTCCCTAGCTTTCCTCCTGCTCATTTTTTTGCTTGCGTCAATCTCATAAGCGTTGACAGCATCAGCGCTTGATGCCCTACCATAACTGCTCATAGATTGATCAATTGGCAATGACAGGTTCTACCTCCAACAGCTCAGGGGGTTTCTTTTTATGTAAGGTCCACCCCAAAGACATGCGGCAGGGGAAGAAATAAAAAGGGACATGTCTTTGAAAGGTAATGTTTCCTAGGGAAAGCGGAACTTAATCTTGAATATAATCTATGGGTATTACAGGTGGAAATTGTGCCATTTTGCAATCCTGCTCTTAAAATGAGAACTACACCTTTTTCACCCTTGCTACAGGGAAGTAGCAGTTAGCGTTTAACTTTTGCTGTTGTGACAGATAAAAGAATACAGGGGAAAAGGAGCATTGGCAAGTGACATATTTGATCTGCTCAAACTTGATAGAATTATAGGAAATTTTAAGTCCAAAAGACTTATTGAAGAGGCTGATTGTGATTTCAGTGAGAGTTCATCACCTCCCAAGCTGCTCATCTCCTTCCTAGAGCAGGCAAAAAATTTTGCTTTTGCTCATTTATGAATCCTTTATAACAGGCTTCAGTAACATGAAGAAATTGTAAATATGAAAACTTTTTGCATTGTTATAGTAATATAAAAAGGCCTTAGTGTTGGTGAAGATTGACATATCAACATATTTTTGGGTATGTTACTGTCAGCACATACAAAGAATATGCAATTAGAGCTGGGGGGTGGAAAGAGGGGAGGGGTCAATCATAATTATTATTTTAAAGGATATGTTTAATAGTTTCTTCTAGTCTCTTTTAGTCTTGTGGCTTATTTAAAATAAAAGCTTCTCAATCTCAGTTATGTAATAATTTAATAGATAATTACTGGTTTAAGAGAAAGGGAGAATAAATCAGTTGTTCTGGAGGTAGCTTTACATAAAGGCAGATAATACTTTTTCACAAATGCTAGCTGGTATGTCTCATTGCAGCTTTAACATTTAACATCACTATTTTTTCTTAAATATACCCTGTATATGTATATATATATCCTGGCTTTACAGAACATGACGAATCCCTGATTCCTATGATATAATATTTAAACACATGCTCTACACTTAGAAGAGTAACATGGGGAGAGTATTGAAAGGAGTATGGAGGACAGTGAGAATAATCTATGCAGTTGCTTCCAGATTTCCTTCCAGAGCTTTGACATTTAAGATACAGCCTTCTTAACGTCAGTGACTACATGATTAACTATTGCCCCTGCTTCTGGGCGTGCACTTCCTAAAAGCAGATTTCATCAGATGCATTTGTGTCAAATACTGTGTACAATGAAGAACGTTTTTACTATACCTCTTTTGGAGCATCTTTCTGTATGAATGTTTCATAAATGGTCTTAGCTTTTGGCAAAAGTTCATGTGCAGTTTTGCTTTTCTTGTAGTCCTCGCAAGCTATCCAGAACTCGATGTTCTCCTCACTGAACTCAGTTTTCAGAAACTTTGTAAAGGCATCCAATCCCGCTACAGAAGGGAATGTTGAATTGCATTAAAAAAACATATCCTTATTGGATAGTTACTCTTTTCACACAGTCAGCACAAAATAGGTTGTGCTCCCTTTGAATTACATCATGTTACAGATAATAATTTTAAAATACATAAAGGTTTTAAAATAAGTACAGTTCTTTCATTGTGGTCCTGAGTGCTGTAACTCCCATTACAGAATTCTCAGCATCTGTGAAAATTCACTACCAAGATATTGTGAATTTAGAAAAAGAAGCAATCAAAACATGTGGAGGTATGTGAAAGTGACGGACTTTATTCTGGCTGAATATCAGCCTAGGTTGACCGAAACACTATTTGAATCTTTGCTCATAAGTAGATTGTTGTCCAGTAACAATTTAAAATGAATGGCTTTTAGCATCTTTATAATTTGCTTTATCCTCTTGTTATTATGCTGGAGATATTTTCATTCCCAAGTATGCTTAATCTGTGGAAGTAATGCAATTGTATTGATGTCAACTGCTGAAGGAACTGATTTGAAAAGCACATAATGTCCAGCACTGTAGCTGGATCATATGTGTGTCCCTCCAAAATGGAAGGAGGGACATATGTGTATTTGATAATCATGTAAGCAACAGGCCCTTTCAAATGATGGCCAGCTTTGATCCTATCACTGTTTTAGAAACAAACTGTATCAGAAGTGACAAAGTCTTTTCTTAAGTACATAGAACATGTTTTCATTTTTAAGGTTTGGTCTTGCAGTCAGGAATATTTGAGCAGTATTCAAATGAAATTCTACTGTTTAGTGAAGGAACTCTTTGCTGCCTGTTATATTACTTTGTTCAATAAAATACGAAACTTAAAAGTTATGTTCAACTATTTTCAGTAGTTGTCAGCATGCTATAGCCTAAGCATGTGAGCGGAGCAGAAACACGCACTGCTATAAATGACCCATCGTACCTAGTTTAGGTAACTGCCAGGTCTATTTAAGTGCACAACTGGATTTTATAATTTTCCATCATTTTCCATCCTAACAGTCAGCACAGAGAGGAAAAAAACTACTAACCTTTCTCAGAAAGCAGTTTGTCAAAAGATTCTCCCCATTTCACTGCTTCTTCAGGAGACACACTGCTTAAGAAACAAAGTGGGTTTGAAGAATTGGCATGTTATGTATTTATGAAGCTGTTGTAACATGTGTTATCTGTTAACATTATTGCTCAGGACTGTTTCCCAAAGCCTTTGGTTAGATGACATCACTAAAGGAGCCCATTCTCTTAAGGACTTTAGAAACACTTGGCTTAATTTTTTTTCTGATGTTTTTCCTGACATTTTCCTGTACTTCTTCCCCCTGTTTAAAAAAACATCACAGCAGAGATTTTTCTCTTTGGTGTTTGTGTTGTGCTACTAATCTTTAAGGGAATTGAGATCATGCTGTATGGTAAAATTCATAAGGGAACCAGGTCAGTCACCTATTTAAACTTTGAAAATACTCTTGCAGAGATGTGGTTTTGAATGCACTCGGTCTGAGGCTGTGTTACCACAGTCTATTTTTAATGAAATACGGGAAATTCTATAGCCTGAAGACAAAGTTGTAGCAATATGGTTTAGGTGATAGTCTTACAGGGTAATAGCACACATAGCCTGGTTTGTTTACCGCAAAAATTTTTCAAATGTCATGTTATTCTGAGACACTGTGCTCTATTTATAAAATGCCACATATTCTTCATCAAATATGTCAAGTTGCACGTATTTTACTTTGATTTCAAATATTCTGCTCTAGAGAACAACGCAGAAAGGATAAAAGAATACCCTACTTCATTCATGCAAATACAATTTTGGAGAAACCCTTTTTTTTGTTTTGTACAGATTAACCCTGTACACACACCTGGACAGTACTTTGATTTTTAGTAGACCAGAACTGGAGTAAGCCCAGAGATGAATTGTATCATGCTAGGACTAGGACTTAAGTTCCAAGCCTGAAAGTGAAGTCCATTTTTATCAGGTGCTTTATGAATATTAATATTTAGAACCATTTTCATTCGAGGGCAAAGCACAGTACACTAAAAGTATCAGTAAGCAACTTGTCCAGGATTAGTTGGTTAGAACAACTTCTTATGGACTGAACACTTTTTGGATATGATTTCCCCCTCCTCACGGAGGCTTGCTGTTCTGTTGCCTGATTCACATAGTTTAGGTTCCCTTTGCAAAATCTGTAGGCACATGAAGTTCAGATGAAAGGAAATTCCAGACACTTTGGGAAGAAATTTAAGCCAGTAATGGTCCTGGTTTTGCAAAAAAATAAAAGGAGGATTTTTTTTTTTTAAATAGGTGTCACATGTCTCCTAGCTGAAGTCATTGCTTTATAGGAATGAAACTTTTAATTAGGGGCAGACAAACAGTTCTTGAGAGGTACAAATGCTGGAGAACTGAAATTCAAGAAATGAGCATAGGACGCAAAGTAGGGGGATTCTGGAGTCAGGGAACATGAGACCTCACTCCTTACAGAGTTTTTTAGTTATGAGAAGTACAAAAAGTGCAGTTCTCTGAACTGTGTGGACTTGTAAGTCTGGGAACAGTGGGTTCCTATAGCTACGGAAATTAATTTGGTTATAGTGAAAGATAAACCCTGATGACTTCAGACACAATATGCAGTCCACAACTGCACGGAATGCCAGAGAGGTTCTCTGCTGGGTTTGGAAACTCTTAGTGTGAATTGCTAGTTTTCCTTCAGGAACTGCATCAACCCAGTAGCCTCACAGATCCCCAACACCTGGGTGCAGCAATGAGCTACTGCAATAACAGACAGAAACCAAGATTTGTTCAGCTTTGCCACTTTCTAAAGATGAGAAGAAACTAATTAACAGGTTACAAGCATTTCCACTATCACCACACTATCCATGTGCAGTGTTTCATTAAATTATCTTTCTACTTACATTAGCATCTCTGTGTGAAGAATGGAAATCATAAAAACTAAGTAAATCACTTAAATAATAAATCTCAAACTATTATCTCACTTTATTTGAAGAACAGTAATTTTCTTTTTCTTTTTTTTTCTCCTTTTTTGCCAAAAATAATCTACACCTCTCTCTATATATAGAGAGAGAAAGATCAGCAAAAATCTACCAGTTTCCCCTCCATACCACAAGAACAGCAGAATCCCTGTTAGTCAGGCACCTGGCTGACAGTAATGTGGTAAAAAGCAGTTGGGAAGAAGTGATAGTCTGTTAAAAGGGGAAAATTCTTCAGAGAATTATTTATCGCTATTGTATCTGCCTCTGAAAGTGCCTTTTCACAGATTACGAGAATGCATTGATGGCTGTGTACTTTGTATGAAATACCCAGGGGTAGTAAGCCGCCCAATACTGTCTGCATACAGGTGGCATGGAGGCTGTGCCTTCTCTTTTTAGATGCAATCTTAGCATGGTTTTACATGTCTGGAACCGAGAAACGGAAAAAGGGTGTTCTCAGCACTGTTTTACCTTTGTTCATCATTGCAATGTCTTGTATTTCTGAGTGAACTGTAAAACCATTGAATTAAGGCTTCTGTCAGCAGCAAAACAAGAAAGAGAGAGAAAAAAAGAAAGTAATGAAGCCCCCCATGACCATGGACTGGAAAGTCTTCCAGATCATGAGTACACCCTGTCATTTGGATGGGCATGATATTTGGACATGTGAGCAACAAACACTGCTTAATTATCCAGATGCATAGGTGCAGGTGTTTAGATACCCACTTCTCAGCCACTTTTTCATGGGTTCTAGAAACAGAGTTTGGGCCTTTATACAATTTCTACCATGTGTTCAGAATTAGTAAGGGCTGGTAGAAGGAGTTCTGGTCAGAGCAGGCACCTTGGTCCCAAAGATAGTAACTACTTAAAGAAGGTTCAGTAAGCTTAATGAGACAAAAGACCACAGGAAGCACTGAAGTGATCTGAAGTGATCTGTGATGGAAAGAAAGGGGCGGCTAATTTTTTTACGCATGGAGTTGCAGTACTTTACGCATTCCTTCTTTTCAGCCAAGACCTACAAATGCAATTCTTAATATATCAGTGAGATCTTGGTAACTCACTGAAGACAGGAACTAAACTCTTATTGAAGTCAACAAAACCAAGATTTTACCCTGCATCTTTATGAGAAATAGTATAACAGGGACAGTATTACAACAGTGTTTAAACAACAGTATCTGAATTTTGGAGACAAGAGCGTTTAAACAATTACAGCAATTATTGAGGAAATACACATTCAGTATTTGACATGCATCTGGCATTTGTACATCACAGAATTCTTTGGAAAACCTGCTTTCCAAGGAGCTGTGTGATTTCCCTGTAAGCAGTAATTAGTCAGCTACATTTCTGACTTGATGCTTGCTCAATACAGTCAATGGACTAATAACGCTGTTGGCATGAGTAAAGGTTTAAACTTATCTGCAACTGTATGGGGACCAGTCTACACCTAGTAGTGTGAAAACACTAGCGGTGAGTTACCTTGATGCACACCAGATAATTCTATAGTGTTTGTATGCTTGGGTTAGATTGCTAACCATTAAATTAAATAGATCTTGAAAGCGTTATCCTCTGCGAAGTCTGAATGCACACGCATAAATGCAGGAAACGTTCTGAGTCACACAGGCACTTCCTGAAAGGAATCCCCACCAGCTCAGTCTTTTATAATGCTTACCTTGCTGCTTTTGTCAAGCTTCCAGGTTTACCAAGATGATCACCTTCATGGAATTCAGATTTCTGCAGGAGAAGGCTCAGCCTGTTTCTCTTCTGCTTAGCTCTACAACAGATTTAGGGTAGCTTTTCAAGCAACCTGGTTGAAAGTTGGGGGTTTACCCTCAAATATTTCCTTTGACTAATATATCTGCTTCTGCATCATAGATCTCCCTATGTTCACTTATAGTAATGTTGATGTTACTTCTACATATATTATTCACATTAATGATTTTTTTTCTTTATAGCTTAGCACAAATTTACATATGAAGCACTGACAAAGAGAAATGGAAATCTTTTCATTTTCAGTATCTTTTTCATTTATTTTAAAGATAGAAGGGTGAGATTTCACATTAGAGAACATAAATGGTTGGCTCAGCATCTTCTACTTTTAACGTTTTGCAAAGAAAAAGGAAGTATTGCTTTCTGTCATTTGAAATTTCTAAAAAGAAACTTTTCCGGATCATATTCAGGCTTTAAAGAAGCATTTCTCAGAACTTCTTGAAACCTCCCTTTCCTCTTTTCTTAGTTTATTGTTTCATTTGTTTCTTCTTCTTAAAAAATATTTCCACGATGAATTAATATCTTACGTATACAATTCCTGGGATTGCAGTTCATGAGTTTTCATATATATATATAAGTCAAAAATAATATGATCTGTGCCCTACGTTCTTACCCACAAGCTATGTTAGAAGAATCCTCTACGTAAACAGAACACTCAGAGTGTCAGCATGACCTTAAAACTTACCCAGGCTTGCTTGCTTTATGTGGCTCTTCTTTAACTGTTGATTTCATGACTTTGTAATAGGATTTATCCTTTGAAGCAGAAATGTTTAGTTGGGGGAATAAAAGAAGTGGGTTCTCCATCTTCCTCTAAAAAAGCTTCACGGTTTCAGAAAATGTTTACTTCCTTACAGCAGTTGCATTTGGCGAACCCGACGTGCTCGGGAGGGCTCTCACATGCTGTATCGGGCTGGGTTGCCCCCAACTGGCTGTTGAGCAGTTTCCAGAGCAGGTACTGGGAAGAAGGAGGTTCTCCACCTTCACTGCCACTGCAGCTGCAAGTACACCGGACTTTATGCGGGGTTCTGGTTTTACAGTCGTCATTTAGGGAAGTGAGATTGCAGCTTTGCAAAATGGCCGTTGATAATCCAGACAAACACGGCTATCAACGGAGAGCAACTCCTGGGTTTCTGCTTGTGGAACTTGGTATTTTACTAGGCTTAGGATGACGCCATCATTTTCCCCCAAACACCTGTGAGAAGTGTACATAGTTTCTCTAAAATGAACTTTAATGAGAAGAATTTTGCATAAAATAACATATAACATTGTCTTAAGCTCTTAGAAGAACTTCTAACTGACCTTAAACTGCCCTCTACAGCCTCAAGTGTCATACGCTGGACACAACAAAATCAGTTCTACCTACAGTATGCTAACTTGAAACTCGGGGTTTCTCACAGTCTCCTGCAAGTGCCAGATGAAGCTGTGTTGATCAGATATTTTGTAAGCGGAGATTTTAAATTTTGCACCATTTTTCAGAAATGATGAGCACCTACTTCTAATGTCAAGTTTGTCCACTTAAAACTCCTCCTTTATCTTTTATATCTGTGGCTTTATTTTCATTTACGATCTCCCAGCCAGGATAAAATGTCTTTAGTTCAGCACAAAAATTTGTGATTTTTTTTTTTTACAGTAAATAACCAAAAATTTCTCATTTCAATTTACATAATGTAAAAATGTATTAAGTTTTTAGGTTGATCATCACAAATTACCTCTTCATATACAAGCTTGATATCAATTAAGTTTCTTGTTCTTAAGTATAATTTGCGTTGGAGATGTCACAGGAAAAATACATCTACCAACAAAATCCATTCAATGTTAGCTGAATGAGAGGCTGGAAAAGATTAAAATTATGCAATAGTTAATTGATTAGGAATTAAATAGCTCTCCTTTTTTAATGCCAATGTCTCATTTTGATTGTACAGGTAAGACACTGAGCCCTGGGGAGAAGACATGACCTCATCACCTTCCCACAATTTTTCACCCATTATGTGTATATAATACTGTCTGTGTTCATCTGCCATCATTTTATTACCTGGTGATTTCAGTTCCTGAAAAATGTTGTTAATTGTAGCCTCAATAGTTCATATAAGCTGCTTTAAGAAAGATTTGCAGCATGAAACGCCACTCAGAAGTGAATTATGGTTGCCTTGCTACTATACCATGTAACTTATAGATGGAAATGACCCGTTATGTCACCTCTTTCAGCACCCACCAACAATGGGCTCTCCCCAGCGTACATCTGAATGGCTCGCCCAATCTTAAATGACTCTAAAGCAATGGGTGTTATGTCTTAGATGCTTGAAATATTACTGTACTATACTCTGACAATATTATCAGTCCCAAATGCAGCAATGTGCTGTGCATCTCCTGAGAAATCATTTGGAAATTTTTTTTTTTCTTTTTTGGGGGGTGAAGCGGGGGAGGAAGGGAATAATTACAAACAATCTCTTCTTTTTTTCCGCCCCTACTTTTTTTTTCCATTAATAGAAAGCTAATATTAAATCCAGGCCCTGAAGTAGCCAAATTGCATCAAAGCCAGTCTGTGTTTTGTCAACGACGGTGCTGGTGCTAATAAGTATTTCTGTTTTGCACTGCAGGCTACAGTAGTTATAGCAACGGTATTAATGACCCTGTAAATGCTTCTGGGCCATTTTGTATACTGCAAGATGATGATATAGAAAATGACTATGTTATTTTAAGCCAGAAAAAGCAGACCCAGAATATTACGTTGATGACATCACTAGAGACCTAGAAAGCTCTAAAGAAATTTGGGATGAGAACCAAATGTCCTGATTCGCAACCGTTTCCCTAACCACTGAAATGTATTCAGAAATCTTTTGAGAAGGAGACTAGTGATTTTTAAGCCCTCAAATCAAGATAATCTCTGCAAAGTGAGAGCAATATTTTCTTAATGATTTATTACTTGTAGAAAAGAATAAATACATTTTTCAAGAGCTTTCATAGTTAGATGAATAGAATATGTATTTGCAAAACAATCTTTATGTGACAAAAAAGCAAAAATGAATACATCATAAAGTGCAAGAAGTTCCTTGACGTGATGTCACAGCTGATGATCAAGTCATGCTTGACTTGTGTAGACCCAATAGCTGCCCTCTGTGAAAGAAATATTGATTGATACTATTAGCAATAAGGATATTGTATTATACACCGAATATGTCGTATTTCTTTTTTAAAGGTAAGCACTGAAAGACTCAGACTTCCAATTCAGCTGAATAGAAGTGAAGCCCTGATTGAGTGGTTCAGCTCAGCACAAAGAACTAGAGCACAATGAGGAGTTCTCCTTTGTTAGTAATCCCGCCGCACCTCTCTTCAACCTATTTTGTTACTTGCCAGGTAAGTGTAAACTTTGCCTCCTTTATGTCTATGCTCATGTTCTAGCACTGCCCAGGCTCCTCCACAACTGAGCTCCACCATTGTTGCTTATTCAAATCCAACTCTGCCAGTATGGCTTTTGTGAGTTGTTTGGGTTAGTTTCTGCTGAAAGGAAGCGATATTCATCTTTGTGGGAAGAAAAAAAAAGCAACACAGTCTCTTTACTGTCCTGTGAAAAATAAACATGGAAAGAAACTTCACTGAAGAGCATGGGCTGAAAAGATGTATTTCCGTATTTCTCTTTCTTTTTCCTGTAAAGGGATTCAGGAGTTGAAAATTAAAATAATGTTTTGAATGAATTTGGCTTCAGTAAATAATTCTGCTCTTCAGTAACTTCTTAATTTATCACTCCTCAATATTTATGTTGTTTATTCCTTATTGGAAACCATAATTGGACCTACAATTTAATAATGATATGATCCAACATATGGTTGTTTTGTTTATCTTCAGACAAAAAAAACCCATTTTTGCTTCATGAAGTAATATCAAAAGGAAAATAGTTTTATTGTAAATCTCAAGTAGAGGAGCTTGCAGTCTGCTAATTCAGTGAATTTCTTTAGTGGTGCACTTAAAAGTTTTATCCTTCTGCAGGAACCTGGCATGGGGGATACTTCAGAGTTAGTGGAAGAGAAGCATTATAACGTCTACACATAGTTCCCATTATAAAACCCTCTTTTGTGGCTGCTGTTTAAAAGGAAGGAAACAAAATTGCATTGGTTCAGATAGGGATCACTGACAACAGGAACGTTAACACTTTGCACTCGGGGTCTGTAGGTCCTGTCAGCCAGGGATCTCAAAAGAATTTTGTAAGGCATCCGTGATGACAACTCAGGCTTGGTGCAGGCTTGGGAATCTTTGTAGCTTCAACAGAACTTCTGCTGTGGAAAATGTTTACATCTGTGCTAAACTAAATTTATTTATTTTTCTTTTGAAAGGTCAAAATAAGAAAGTGAGTCTGCAAAGTTCTCAGCTGTATTCATTTCCTGCCTGCCCCATGGTTATATGGCCAGCATCTCTGATTAGTTCTATTTACATATTACATACATCACTGTCACAATTAATCTACAGGAAGCTGGTTTCTCAGTTGAACCACTCAGTGTTTACAACTAGCTCTCCACAAGTGTACAGCAATGACATCAGTACTCATTAGACAACTGCGTTTTAATGACCAGCTTCCGGAAGTGCTCACCTAGGACACTCACACACATTTTTAAATGTGTTTTTTTAGTGTGGTATTCACAGGAAATGCTGAAGGCAGGAATGTACTCTAAATCCTGCCCAAAATACCCTACTGGATTTATTTTAGTCTTACAGAAACCCAGAGGGATTCCTTACATGACAACCTGCTTTTTTTCAAAGAGGAAGATTTTAGCAATCCATGCTAAGTGCAAGAAACAGCAAGTACTGGGCTGAGTGTTTTCTGGTCCTTCTGTGAAAGGTGTGGGAGAACAGAATGGAGAGACGATCAGGCAAGAGGGCTGTGATTCCTGGTCCACTGAATATTAGCCATGAGATCAAACTCCCTGCAGCAGACAAGGGAATAAAATCTGTTTTACATGAGAACTGAGTCTGCTGTCACTGAGCTACTGTGTGGTTTCAGCAGAGCCCTCATGTTGCATGTCAGTCATGTCCTCACTCGGCTTTTCCAGATTCCAGAATATCTCAGGGATGCTGCAGCACAGGTTGAACTACTACGTCAGGCATTGTCAATCCTCCATAATGCAGAACTAGGGAAGCCATAAGGAGCATTTCATATTAAAAAGGCAGCTCTGCAGTGAATAGGGCTACCCCAGAGCTGGGAGAGCACTCAAAACAGGTTTGGAAGGTCACACCTAGGTATTTAGGATGAAACTAGGCAGGACCTAAGAGCTCAGGTTCTACTGTAAAGCCACCCTTGATGGCTGCAGTGTTGCAGAATGTGCTCCCTCAGTACAATACTGAGGCACTGATACAGATAGACCTAATACGGCCTATTTAAATCACAGCTAAAATTTCTGCAATAATACTTTCTTCAGCTTATATGTTATTATATTTTATTCATTGTTACTTCTTCCTGATAGTGCATTGTTCTGATGTCCTGATTTAGCTGACGTAAATAGTCCTAGCTTTTACAAAGTAGTATGGTGGATTGCTCATCACAGCAGTAAAAAACTTGGTACCAAACAAGTAAAAAATTAGTCTCTCAATCCTCACTAAATATATATATGTATATAAATATATTATCTTCTAAGTCTGTCAAAAGAAGACAGTGTCTTAAGATTTTGAAGCTCTCAGTCACTTTGATTTTTCTCTTCAGTAATTACCCAAAGAAGTTCACTACTAAAATTAGATATAACTTAATAATAATTCCAGGTCAAATTTGAATGAGTATGACATCTTCAGAATGACAGAGAAATTTTCCAGGAAGGTTCAACTATTTTTTGAGGATTGAGAAAAGTTGTATTCTAAACGACAAGCTGGGGCAGTTTTATTTCCTAGACAATGAAAGTTTTGCAGTAGTAGTTTCCTTTTCCTCCTCCCAATCTGTTATAAATCTTCTCTTATGAGGAGGCTGGCTTCAAGGCAGGGACGCTCATTGTCAGCATTCACTGGCCAGTCATAGTCTCTCCTCTTCTTAACTAATA